TCTTCCTGATCTCCAACATAATTATTATTATTTTAAATAATTTTATTTATTTATGGCTCTTCTGGGTCTTCAGTGCTGCTCAGGGCTTTGCTCTAGTTTCGGTGTGAGGGCTGCTCATTGCGGTGGCTTCTCTTGTTGTGGAGCATGGGCTCTAGGGTGCTTGGGCTTCAGTAGCTGAGGCTCCCAGGCTGTAGCTACTCTGTGGCGTGTGGGATCTTCCTGGACCAGGGATCCAGCCTGTGTCTCCTGCATTGGCAGGTAGACTCTTTACACTGAGTCACCAGGGAAGTCCGTGATTAATTCTAGATGGTAATCTTAGCTCTCCTGTGTTGTGCTCCTACTGTAAACACTGTATTGGATTGGGTTCATTGATTCTTTTGTTTTTGCCATGCAGCATGTGGAATCTTATTTCCTAGACCAGGGATCAAACTCAGGCTTCTGCATTGGAAGTGCGGGGTCTTAGCCACTGGACCACCGGGGAAGTCCCAACACTGTAGTGGATTGAAGGGTATCACCCTCCAGAAAAATGTGTCCATGTCCTAACAGGATCCAGTACCCAGGAATGGGACCTCATTTGGAAAAAGTATCTTTGCTGCTATAGTTAAGGCTCTCTAAGATCATTGTGGACTAAACCTACATCCTATGACAAGTGTCCTCATAAGAAAAGGAGAATTGCAGAGGAGAGAAGAGAAGGTCTTAGGAAGATGGAGGTGGACATCAGAAGGATGCTGCCACCAGCCAAGGAATGCCAAGCCTTGCCAGCAACCACTGGAGGTTGGAAGAGGCAGGAAGGAGTCTCCCCTGGAGCCTCTGCAGGGACCAAGTTCCTGCTGACACCTTGATGTGAGAGAATAAATTCCTCCTGCTTTTAAGACATGTGCTGTTGTTGCTCAGTTTCTAAGTCATATCTGACTCTTCGACCCCATGGTCGGCAGCACGCCAGGCTCCTCTGTCCTTCACTATCTCCCAGAGTTTGCTCAAACTCATATCCATTGAGTCGGTGATGCTATCTAACCATCTCATCCCCTGCCGCCCCCTTCTCCTTTTGCCTTCAATCTTTCCCAGCATCAGGGTCTGTTCCAACGAGTCAGCTCTTTGCATCAGGTGGCCAAAGTATTGGAGCTTCAGCTTCGGTCCTTCCAATGAATATTCAGGGTTGATTTCCTTTAGGATGGACTGGTTGGATCTCCTTGCTGTCCAAGGGACTCTCAAGAGTCTTCTTCAATACCACAGTTTGAAAGCATCAATTCTTCAGTGCTCAGCCTTCTTTATGGTCCAACGCTCACATCCATACGTGACACCTAGTTTGTAGTAATTTATGATGTCAGCTCTAGGAAATTAAAATAGCCGTCTTAGCTATAGACGTGGCCACCTTGTTTTTTCCTTATCATCAAGCTCATGTCCTTTGTGACACTCAGTCTGTAATCATCCCCTTTATTTTCCTGAGTCTGTCTCCTTCCTGGACTGTGATGTCCGTGAGGCCAGAGACCTTGTCCCCTGCTGACAGATGACAGAGCCGGGGGAGGCTCTGTGGGGCCCATAGACATTTGTTTCCGAATGAGATGAACCTGGAGATGGGGACCTTTCCAAGTAGAACAGAACTCAGAATCAATATTTATGTCCCCAGACAGCAGTCCTGAAAATCAAAAACTAACAAAAGACCAAGGCATATAGAAAAAAAAGTACTAAACCAAAATTTCAGCAGGAAATATTATAACTCTCCCAGGGGGAGCCCTGTTCTCGTCCAGATATTTAATTGAACATGTATAGGAACTCAGCCGGCAGCGTGTCTGGGGAGCTCACACGTGGGGCTGCGGGGACGAACCAACTCCGGGAAACCTCATTAATTTCTAAATGAGAAATGATTTCATTTCTCAGCCAGCATCTGGAGGCAGTGCCATGCAGCTGACAGGCCTTAGCAGAACCCGGTTTTCATACCAGCTGTTGTGGTTCCTTGCCCAAGATCTTTCCTTGAGAAAGAAAGGAAGGAAAAGAGGGAGGGAGTGAAGGAGGAAAGACCCCAGGTCCCCGTCCCCTGGAATCACGTTTTGTCGTGTGACAGCCCCAGTAAGGAGATGAGCCTTGTCTCCTTGACTCGCCAAGGCTGGTGGCATTTAGGGGCTTGCAGACCAAGGGGTGTGCTCACAGGGGAAGGCAGACCGGATGATTACCTTCATCATCTTTATGGTTGGTGGGGTCATGGTGTATTTAACCCGGGCTCTATGGGCTTCTGCATTTCCTCCATGCACATTGTCCTTATGGTAATACAGTGCACCGTCCAGGTTAGAGACGTGAAAGCGGAGCTTCTGAGGAATGAAGCGACTCACAAAAGACATACCGTTTGGGGACAGAGAAGGGGGAGGGGATGGATGCTGGTGGCACTTTTGCCAGTGGTTCTTTCTCTGGCTTCCCCCTCCTCTCTCCTGCTCAGTCCCCGCCCTCCCCTCCCCACCCCACACTGCCTGTCACTCTTCAGCCTCCAGTGGCTGGAAAGGGAGTGGGGGGCATGGCTGGGGCAGACCCTCCCGGGTGTGAACTCCTGCATCTTCTCTGGCGGTGTTCTCTGCTGGTCCAACCCTCACACCCATACATGACTACCGGAAAAACCATAGCCTTGACTAGACGGACCTTTGTCAGCAAAGTGATGTCTCTGCTTTTTAAATCGCTGTCTAGGTTGGTCATAGCTTTGCTTCCAAGGAGCGTCTTTCAGATTCACGGCTGCAGTCACCACCTGCAGTGATTTTGGAGCCTAAGAAAATGAAGTCTAGACGTGAACTTGGGAGCCGTCTTTCAACCCACTACACCCCTCTGCTGGCTACTCTCAATATAGAGAGCAGAGCGACCTGTAGACACTGAAGTTAAACTCCATGTCTCTTAGGCCTCAAGACCGTCTGGTGGCCTCCGTCTCACTCAGCGCTGCGCTTAGTCGCTCAGTCCTGTCCGGCTCTGTGTGACCCCATGGACTGTAGCCCACCAGGCTGCTCTGTCCATGGGATTCTCCAGGCAAGAATAGTGCAGTGGGTGGCCATGCCCTCCTCCAGGGGATCTTCCCAACCCAGGGACCGAACCCAGGTCTCCCGCATTGCAGGCGGATTCTTTACCGTCTAAGCCACCAGGAAAGCCCTCTCATTCGGAGAGAAATTAAACATCTTCCCGATGGCTCCGGAGCCCCGAGCCCCACGCGAGCTGCTGTGAACGCTCTCCCCTCCCCACGTCCTCCTTCTCCCTCACCCGCAGCCACCGTCGTGGCTCTTCCCGAGGAGGCCCCAGCGGGCACACCCCCTCCCATCTCTGACTCCCCTGCTCCATCCTCCCTGTGGTTCCTCAGTTCTTGCCCCTCCTACACGGCTGCCTCCCTCACCTCCTTCAGGTCTTTGCTCTGACATCACTTCCTCAGTAGAGCCGCTGTCCTGCCCCCTTCCTTCAGGTCTTTGCTCTGACGTCACTTCCTCAGTAGAGCCGCTGTCCTGCCCCCTTCCTTCAGGTCTTTGCTCTGACGTCACTTCCTCAGTAGAGCCGCTGTCCTGTCCCCTTCCTTCAGGTCTTTGCTCTGACGTCACTTCCTCAGTAGAGCCGCTGCCCCGCCCCCTTCAGGTCTTTGCTCTGACGTCACTTCCTCAGTAGAGCCGCTGTCCTGCCCCCTTCCTTCAGGTCTTTGCTCTGACGTCACTTCCTCAGTAGAGCCGCTGTCCTGCCCCCTTCCTTCAGGTCTTTGCTCTGACGTCACTTCCTCAGTAGAGCCGCTGTCCTGCCCCCTTCCTTCAGGTCTTTGCTCTGACGTCACTTCCTCAGTAGAGCCGCTGTCCTGCCCCCTTCCTTCAGGTCTTTGCTCTGACGTCACTTCCTCAGTAGAGCCACTGTACTGCCCCCTTCCTTCAGGTCTTTGCTCTGACGTCACTTCCTCAGTAGAGCCGCTGTCCTGCCCCCTTCCTTCAGGTCTTTGCTCTGACGTCACTTCCTCAGTAGAGCCGCTGTCCTGCCCCCTTCCTTCAGGGCTTTGCTCTGACGTCACTTCCTCAGTAGAGCCGCTGCCCCGCCCCCTTCAGGTCTTTGCTCTGACGTCACTTCCTCAGTAGAGCCACTCCCCTGCCCGCTTCTCAGCGTTGTTCACGCCGTTCCCCATGCATTTGTCACCATTTCTCAACTTCGTCACTTACTTGTTCACTGCTGATCCCACACGGCAAAAGTCTTGGTGAATTTGCCTATGCATCTGCCAATCTAGGAACAGAGCGTGGCACCCAGCACGTACTCGATAACGTGTGCTGAGTGAATAAGCGAAGATCAAGGACAATACTTACTTACGGGGTGCATGGGATTTAAATGAGATAGTACTTACGCGGCAGAAAGCCTGGCATATCTGAGCTTCGATAACCGTGGCTATTAATCATATTAATGGCTTCCCAGGTGGCGCTAGTGGTAAAGAACCCGCCTGTCAGTGCAGGAGACATAAGAGATGCAGGTTCGATCCTTGGGTCAGGAGATGCCCTGGAGAAGGGCATGGCAACCCACTCCAGTATTCTTGCCTGGAGAATCCCAAGGACAGAGGAGCCTGGTGGGCTACAGTCCATAGGGTTGCAAACAGTCTGACACGACTGAAGCGACTTAGCAGCAGCACATCAATCGTATTAGTATCATGACTATTCTTTATAATTTTGTTATTTATTTAGGCTGTGCCGGGTCTTCGTTGCTGCTCGGACTTTTCTCTAGTTGTGGTTTCTAGGGCTCCTCTTGTTTGAGAGCATGGGCTCCAGAGCACAGGCTCAATAGTGGTAGCACATGCAGGACCTTCCCAGATCAGGGATCAAACCTGTGTCTCCCACATGAGCAGGCAGATTCTTTACCCCTGAGCCACCAGGAAGCCCATATCATCATCACTATTGGCAGTAGTAGTGCGATTTCCCTGCCTCCCCCAGCGTTTGGCTGGTCACAGGAAGTGCTCTGTGGGTGTTTGCTGATTGATTGAAGCATGTTAGTAACTGCCTCTTTCTGTCTCCCCTAAGCCATGCACGGGACGTTCGTGATTCTGCTGCCGCTCAGCCTGATCCTTATGGTTTTCGGGGGCATGACGGGCTTTCTGAGCTTCCTCCTGCGAGCCTCCTGCCTCCTTGTGCTCACGGGGACCCTCTTCTTCTTTGGAGGTAGGTGCCTGCCCGGCATGGGGCCCGGATACCAGGAGGGGCCGCACACGGTCCCCCAGAAGGAAGGAGGGTGGGGAAGACCGCATCGCCTCTGGGGCTTGGTTTGCCCCGCTGTGATCTCCTAGCCGGAAGCGGTAAAGTTTCCTGCCCAGGGTCCCTGGGTCTGTGGTCCCTGGAGAGAAGCCTGGGGGTGAGAGCAGGTTCTGAGAATCGTTTTCACTGTTTCACAAAAGAAGCTGAGTCCTGAGCGCTTCAGGGTCAGGGTCACGGGCTGGCAGGAGACGCGCTCTCTCATGCACACTTTTCATCCTGATAGACATTGCTTTGCTTTGATTGATTAAAATCAGGCAAGTCGGCAATGGCTGGGTTTCAAAGATGGGATCTAGCACTTAGCTGGTAGTTTTATAGCCTCCTGCTTATTTACTCATTTACTGGCCATGCTGCATGGCTGGTGGGGTCTTCGTTCCCTGACTAAGGATTGAATTTGAGCCCTTGGCAGTGAAAGTGCGGAGTCCTAACCACTGGGCCAGTAGGGAATTTTCCTGGGTCATCTGAAATGGTCCTTAAAAAAAGAAAAAGAACAGGGACTTCCCTGGTGGTCCAGCGGCTGAGACTTCATGCTCTCCATGCAGGGGACCTGCCTTCTGCCCCTGTTCAGCAAACTAGACCTCGCACGCTGCAGCTAAACACCCTGCACCGTCACATAAACCCAAACACAAGACAGGAACAGGGGTGACACACACACTCGGAATCCATGGAGGGAACAGCAAAAGCAGTGCCCGGAGGTGAGAATACCACAGGGCTCCCTCCCATCCACTGTAATATTATTAAGAATATCGGCCTTGATAGTTTGCCCAGTGATGAATTCTCCAAATGCGCCTCCCCAGGAGAAGTCTCCATCTCTGATTTGCCACGAAACGAGGCATTGAGCACTTGACACGTGGCAGGTGCCAACGTGGAGCCGAGATGTAGATTGAGGTTAATGTGTTTGAACAGCTACCCGGGGCCAGCGACGGGACTGGACAGCGGGTCCTAATCACATGGGGATGGGGACCTGCCCGTGTGCAGGCTGCTGTTCTGGGTGCTGGGGAATCCAGCGCGGACCCCTTGGGACTCACTCAGGGCAGATGGACATTAGCTGGTTCATAAACATGCAAAATTCCAGTTCTGACCTGGGCAGTGATGGAGCGCCATGAGGTGCTGTGAAACCGTGGGAGGGGGTGGTTTGGCCAGCTCTGGGCGGGCGGGGCGGGGAGGTCCGGGAATTGACAGGAGCTGAGATGGATGGGGGCTTCCCAGGGGGCTCAGTGATAAAGAATCCGCCTGCCAATTTGAGGGAGATGCAGGTTCCATCCCTGGTTGGGGAAGATCCCCTGGAGGAGGACATGACAACCCACTCCAGTATTCTTGCCTGGGACATCCCCTGGACAGAGGACACGCCCCCCCCCGCCCCCTTAAGATGGATGGGGAGGAGTTACCAGCGGCAGGAGGGGCGGGACTGAGGACGGGGCCGCAGTGGGAAGGAGGGGTGGTGCTGGGTGTGTGTGGGGGGGTCCATCTGCTCTCCTCTGTCCCCACTGCAGCCCTGGTGACCCTCGCCGGCATCAGCGTCTACATCGCCTACTCGGCCGCGGCCTTCCAGGAGGCGCTGTGTCTCCTGCAGGAGAAGACTCTGCTGGACCAGGTGGACATCCGCTTCGGCTGGTCCCTGGCCCTGGGCTGGGTCAGCTGTGTTGCTGAGCTGCTCACCGGGGCCACCTTCCTGGTGGCGGCCCGCGTGCTTAGCCTGAGACGGCGGCAGGACCAGGCCATCTGAACGGGGGTGGGGCGGGGGGCGGCACCGGCTCGAGGGCGGAGGGTGCGGCTTGGACTGGAGGGTCCGGTGCTCAGGGACACCGTCCTGGCGGGCTGCGGCTCCCTCCTGGTCTGAGGCTACCACCAAAGAGCCGCTGTGGGCTGAGCCCCGTGTCTGGCGTCACGTTAGTGCTGCCTGGTGTGGGGGATGCTGTGTCCAGGCACCTGTGTGTCTGTGGACTCTGGAGGAGCCCAAACCCGTGAGACCACAAAAGCGCCCCCTGCATCACTGCAGCCTCCTTGCACTTCCCTGGTTTCACTGCATCCTCACACCTGCCCTTTGGATGAGTCTCTCTTCTCTGTTAAGGAAATGGAGGACCCAGAGAGGTTAGGTAAGTGTTGAAAAAACCCACAGTGAGCTAGAGGCATATTCTCCGACATCGCAGCTTTTCTGGGCGGTTCAGGCTGACTGGCTGCGACCTGGATCGTGTGTGTGGAGGTTGCTGCATCTCAGACACTGGGCTTCAGGCTTCCCTGTGACCTGGGACCAGCCAGGAGGCCCCGTGGGAAACCGGGGGGAAGACCACAAAGACACGGGCTCCTCGACATCCAGGTGGTGGACGTGTCTTGCCTCACCTACCCCAGCCAGGCTCATGCTCACCTGGTCCCATCCTGAGCCTTCAGCAGAACAGGTTTCATTGGTATGATGATTCTCCTGCCTGCAATTCGGGAGACCTGGGTTCCATCCCTGAGTCAGGGAGATCCCCTGGAGGAGTGCATGGCAACCCACTCCAGTATTCTTGCCTGGAGAATCCCATGGACAGAGGAGCCAGGCGGGCTACAGTCCATAGGGTCGCAAAGAGTCAGACACGACTGAAGTGACTTAGCATGCATGCACGCACACACACACACACACAGAGTCTCCTTTAAAGCAGTGGGGATTGTGGGTTGCTTCTGCAAACATAGGAGGTCTGCAGTCACAGGCCAGGTCCTGGGGACGTATGACAGCTCTTCTGTGAAATAACAACACCCCACAGCAGTTCTGTGACTGGAGGTGGAAGGCGTTTTCTTGGCGTGGCCCCAGTGGGTCTGGCTGGGAGGCTGTGCTCACCTCTGTGGCCCCATTGGCGCTGAACGCTCTTCAGAGAAGACTCGGCTCCTTTGGGATGAAAATCACTGTAGTTTGGCTTTTTCTCGTGTAGCGGGGAGGTTCAGTCTGGAATAGGGAGCTGAGAGGTCCCCGAGGAATTGGTCAATGGCTAGGGCGATATCTGGGGACTAATCATAACTCTTCCTCCTTCCTCCAGAAAATTCCATCCCTCTTTCATCCTGATATTCTGGCCCATGGGGATGGGGGCCCCCAGAGTGGCTGAACCCCCCTGGGGCAGTGGTGCTCCCATGTCAGCGCACTGGGAGTCCAGACCTACTTGACCAGGGTCTCTGAGTCGGTGGGTCTGGGTGGGGCTCATTTCGAAGCAGTTTCCAGGTGATGCAGACACTCCTGGGCTGGGACCACCCTTTGTTTGACACTGACCTGGAGAGTTTGTTAAGTGTCAGGGCTGGCTGTCGCCTTGCTGCCCATTAGCATCATGAGGGCATCTTAACCCCCTGATCCCAGGGCTGAACCTCTGCACTGATGGTCTCCAGTGGGGCAGCCCAGGCGTTGATGATTGTTAAGACCTCTTCTGATGACTCAACATCAGTTAAGGTTGAGAACCTGCTCCGGTAAGATTCTGAGTCATGAGATGTGCGGAGGGCCTGGGGAGATGCAGGTTTAAGAAACTCCTCAGGAAGGACTTCCCTTGCGGTCCAGTAAGACTGTGCTTCCAATGCAGGGGGTGCGGGTTCGATCCTTGGTCTTGCAACTAAGATCCCACCTGCTGCATGGCATGGTTAAAAACAAAATAAAATACCTGTTAGAGAAACTCCTCAGGAAGGGCAGATGGTTCAGGTTTGGGGACCCCTGGTGTGGACCAGATGAGAACATTAAGATAAACTGCATAACATCGTCATCCTCACCACGACATCATTCCTTTTGCCATGACGTCACTGCCTTCACTGTGCCATCCTCCCCCTCACCGTAGCATGCCCATCATCATGAAGTCAGCGTCCTTAGTAGGGCCTGGTCACCATCACGGCTGACACCCATTGAGTCATCGTTTACTATGCACCTGCATTGTCCAGTGAACCCATCAATCAGTCATTCAACAAACCTCCGAGGGCCGGCTGTTTATGCTAGGAGCTAGGGGCGGTGACCCCACCAGAGCGAGCCCTTGCTCTCTTAGTTGCCACGTGGTTGAGGATAGAGGCAGGTGAAATATATGGCTGTTGGTGATGACTATGGAGATGTGCAAAGTGCGTGCAGGTCAGAACTGAGGTACAGATGGACTAAGCTAAGGAGAGAGTGAAGGTCATGCGTCATGTCCGACTCGTTGTGACCCCACGGACTATACAGTTCATGGAATTCTCCAGGCCAGAATACTGGAGTGGGTAGCCTTTCCCTCCTCCAGGGGATTCATCCCGACCCAGGGATCGAACCCAGGTCTCCCTAGCCACCAGGGAAACCTAAGAATACTGGAGTGGGTAGCCTATCCCTTCTCCAGCGGATCTTCCCAACCCAGGAACTGAACTTGGGTCTCCTGCATTGCAGGCGGATTCTTTACCAGCTGAGCTACCAGGGAAGCCCCCGAGCTAAGGAGAGAAAGGGGGTACAATTGGGACTGAAATTCACATCTACCTGATTCCAATGTACTTCTGGGTTGAAATCACTGCTGCTGCTTCCCTTTCTGTCTAGTCTGAAAAAGTGCAGATAAAGTGGATTGATCATAAGGCCCCGTGGCAGTGGGTGAGTGCATTTCGAAAAATCAGGTTCTAGTCTGGGGAGAAAGATGAAAAAATTTTCCAAAAGCGAGAGCAAACTGTGATGGTGAGAGAGGGCGGTCTCTGCTGCCACCTGCTGGTCATATCAGGGAACTGCACCAGAGGCTGGGCTTGATATTCAAATCAGACCAAGGATATTTGTTCTCAGCCATTCTGTGGGTTAACCACTGCAGGGCAGGGGTTCTTAACTGCGGGAGATTCGCCGCTCCCTCTCCACTTGGGGCCTTTGGGGGTGTCTGGAGACAGTTCTGGTTGTCATTACTGGGGACGGGTGCTACTGGCCTCCAGTGGGTGGAGGTCAGGGCCGCTGATCAACTTCTAAAGGGCATGAGACGACCCCCCAAAAAGAAAGATCTAGTCCTACCTGTCAAAGCGCCCAGTGCCAGAAACCCAGCTATGGGGAAAACGAATAATTACAAAGAGAGAGCACGTGTGTTCTCAAAGAACTGACTACATAGTTGTGAAGAATCTCATTCATTCAATAAACACTTACCAAACACCTGTTACCTGCCGAAAACTGTGTTGGGGTCTGAGAACATATCTGTGGGCGTGGATGACAAGATCCCTGCCGTTACATGGAAGCTGATGGCGCACGTGTGAACCAGCAGCGCATGTGAGAAACTCACATGGTGAAGAAAACAGGGTCATGAGATGGAAGGTGCTGGGAGGGGCTACTCTCGGAAGGACAGTCAGGAAGGGCCTCTGGGAGGAGGTGGCATTTGTGCAGAGACCCAAAAGAGGAGCCCTCCATGTGGGGAAACAGCTGACCAGGCACATGTCAGCACGTGCAAAGGCCCTGAGGTGGGAACAGGCTTAGGTGTTTGAGGGAGGGAAGGAAGGCGGGTTGGGGGATGGTGGTAGGAGGTGAAGTTAGGGAGATGAGGAGGAGGCAGAGGAAGTGGGCTGAGGGTTCCCCCTGGTCCATGATAAGGAGGTTCTTCATGGTTGAGCTGTCTTTGGGATTCTGTCCTATCTCATTGCATTCCATTTCATTCCACCCCTATTTTGAATATATTTTCAATGTTTTGCCTACATGGTGCAGCATGCAGGGTCTTAGTTCCCCGACCAGGGATCGAACCTGTGCCCCCTGAAGTGGAAGCACTGAGTCTTAACTGCTGGACCACCAGGGAAGCCCCTCCATTGATGTCTGGGGGTCAGAGGTGCGTCGGCTCTAACACAGCAGTTCGCACCACAGTCTTCACATTAGCATCATTTGCGGGGTTTAAAATAAAACCGAACTTCTAACAGCTGAGCCAAAAGGAAGCCAAACTTTGAAAGTGGGCCCAGGCACTGGTATTTAAAAAAAAAGTTCCCCAAGTTACTGTGCTGTGCAGGGGTGGGGTGAGAACCCCTGCGGAAGCGCCTTTGGTTGGGTGTGGAGAGCAGACGGAGGAAGGGGCTTCTCCAGTCATCTGGGGCGATGAGGGTGTTCAAGGGGGAGGCAGGGCTTGGACTCAGGGTGGGCTTTGGGGGTTGAGGGGAGGGGGCTTTTACTGTCAGGAAAGTAAATAGGACAAGAGGGGGAGGAAGTACTTGCCTCCCCGGAGCTGTGCCTGGACCTGTGTTCTTCGGTCCAGACCTTGCTGGACCCTCTGATGTGGACGGTCCATGGAACTGACTCACTCCCCATTCAGAGAGGATGGCTCTGCCTGGCGATGAAAGTTCATTCATTCATTCGTCTATTCATTCGTTGACTCACTGTCCACCCTCCATCCAGCCATCCACAGATTATTTATCAATATGCAGTGATTCACTCATATTCTTCGTTCACTTCTTCACTCACTTATGAAGTGAAAGTGTTAGTTGCTCAGTTGTGTCCGACTCTATAGCGTGGGCCATGGACTAGCCCACCAGGCTCCACTGCCCATGGGATTCTCCAGGCAAGAACACTGGGGTGGGTTGCCATGCCCTCCTCCAGGGGATCTTCCTGACCCAGGGATCAAACCTGCATCTCTTACATCTCTTGCATTATCAGGCAGGTTCTTTACCACTAGTGCCACCTAGGAATATTTACAACTTTCCCAAATATTTACAACTGGGACCACCCCCCTGTCACCACCCCGGCAACCCCTGCCCCTGGAGCATCTGGAGGATAGGGGAAGCGAGAGGGAGAGAGAAGGACAGAATGACAGATGGACACAT